GCGGGTGCGGCCGGGCCGCGCGGCAATGGGCCGTCGGTTATCAGCGCCTCCAGCTTGTTCAGCTCGTCCTCTGAGAGCGGCTGCAGGCCAAAGGCGGCGGTGCGCTCGTGCACGCCTGACAGCACGCGGTTCAACACGCCGACGCAGCTGTCTGGGTATGCCGAGCCGCCCGGTGGGAGGGCCTGGTGGCGGGGGTTATGTCGGCGTGCCGCGCGCGTGGGCCAGGGGAGTACATGGGATGGGAGGGAGGGGAGGAAAGGGGGGGGGCAGCCAATTTTGTGTGCCAACCCAAACGACATGTGCTGTGGTCGCGGTCCCGCGCGCGGTCGCCTATCGCTGGAGCCATCCAGGCTTATTATGGGACTTGGGTTCAGAGTAGGCGCGCTGCATGATCGGGACTCATCAAGTGATGGCTACTATCTGCACTGTGCAAAGCAACATGTTTGTGTGCGGTCATGCAGGCGTGTGTACGCGTATTTGGGTGTGCGAACAAGCAAGTGCGCGGTGCAGATTCGCGCGCGCACCGTTTTGGGGACGCGCATGGCGCCGAAGGCGATCACCGTGCCGAAGCGGTTGATGGTGTCCTCTGGCGCCGCGCCGACCTCGCTGGTGCCGATGAGGACCGCCTTGACGCCCAGAAGGTCGCCGTCCGCCAGCACGTGCACCGAGCGCCCCACCAGAATGGTGCCGCCCTTCTTGGCGAACCCTGCCGTGTCGGCCTTGTCGATGGTCAGCCCAGACAGCAGACTGATGTTGTTTGCGTAGGCCTCCGCGCCCCGCTGAGCCCACTCCCGCGCGCTGCTGCTGCTGCGGTCGATGACAGTGATGCGGAGCCGTCGTCAGGAGGTGGCTGTACCACGACCTGCGTGCCTGCTGGGGCTTGCCCTTGAGGGCCTGCCCCGACGGAAGGACAGCGGCCTGTGCAGGTGGACGGCGGTGGCGCGTGTCCATGTACAAACAGTCAGTGCATGCACGTGGTTTACTGATCAAATGTGCTGGTATTGCTGCCTGGGATCGACCCGTTGGCCAGGGCCCAGCTTGGCAGGGCGCAAACGCGGCGGCAACGCAGGTGGCTGCCTGCCCTTGACATGCGTATCCGCACCTGCACACTCGTGGGCGCACTAGAGGCAAGCCCGTTCAGGAGACCCCGAATGAACACCCTGCCCCGCTCTTTTGGTGAGTCACGTCGTCAGCAGCAACACTGGACACCCACTCACCCACCCACGCTAATAACCGGCCAGCCAGCCAGCACGCCGGCCCGCCTGCCAGCCAGCCAGCAAACAAACACGCGAGCACCCCCCCCCCAACACACACACACACACACACACACACACACACACACACACACACACACACACAC